AACATCCTGTGGAGAAAATGGGTCGTGTTTTTAAAGCCTCCATGTTCCCATTTTTCATTCTAGTACCATGTAGCCACTAATAGCTTTACTGATTTCTCTTTCCTCCATTAGAGATCTTTCTTTTGGGCAAAGCTTAATTGTTAAGCAGTGCCCCAAACTGACAAATGTCCAGGGAGATGAGTGAGGGGACAGCTGGAGAGACTCATCTCATCGTAGGACCTTGTGGGACCATTGGCCTACAACGACCTACTACATCCCGCCTAGGAAAGGAAATCTAAGCTTTTTAAAAATATATATTTATTTGAGAGAGAGAGAGAGTGAGAGAGAGCATGAGCAGGTGGGGGGTGTGGGGAGAAGGAGACTCCCCGCTGAGCAGGGAGCCCTATGCAGACTTGAATCCAGGACCCTGGGATCACCACCTGAGCCGAAGACAGATGCTTAACTGACCGAGCCACTCAGGTGCCCCAGAAATCTAGGCTTTTGAGATTCAAAACTCTTTTCTTTTCAAACTTCTGTCTGTAACATGTATTTCAAAATCTTCAAGTTGACTTTCTTTCCTGACAAATTTCTGCTGTAATGTCCCTACTTTGAGGCTCTGAATGTCAAAATATCTGAGTTCAATTTTCTTCAAACTGTAGGTCACAACCCATTAATGGGGCATGAAATCATTTTAATAGGTCTTGATAGAATTTTTAAATGAAACAGTATAGAATAGATTAGAGTGCATCACATATAGTAAAGGTAAGTATTATTTAGTTAAATTTTTGTTTCACTTGTGTGGGTTATGTGTTTGGTTTTCAATGTAAAACCTATTTGTTTCTATGGGTTGCAGCCAAAAATGTTTAAAAGCCACTGGACTTTAGTTTAAACAGAGAAAGAGCTAAGGGAGAGAAAAACAAGTAATAAGAAACAAACATATTAACTGAGTATGGACAACTTTATGGAGAAGTTTGGCCATGACTGGGAAATGGATTGACTGAAAGCTGCTCTTCTAGCCCCAGCGAGCAAGAGTCTGTGTGAGGGATAAACTACAAGCATCAGGAACCAGAAGCATCAGAGAAGAAAATCCTGTGAGGGCTAGCTCCTTGTGGGGCTGGGGCAGCTGGGGATGTACAGAGGGGTAGCAGGGAGAGCTGAAGATGAGAGATGACTGAATTTAGATCGAGATGAGCCGTGAGAACCCTAAGAGAAGACTGTGTCATTCTTGGTGCTGTATCATGGGCAGGCCGGCGAACAACAGCGTGTACTTGGCCCAAAAGAAAGGTCAGCAGAGAGGATGAACAGGCATGGGGGTGGGGTGAGGATCTTCTGCTAACCCATGGTCGATGCTTCAGGGTCAGCAAAAGGTCTAAGTCTAGCCACAGGCTTAAGGAGACTAGTATCCTCTTCACCTTCTCCCTGCTTTCCCAACACCAAACACACAGTTGACCTGCCTGTCGAGGCCACCAGACATACGGGAAAGAGTCTGGGCTCTGTGGTCAGAAGACCCTGATTCTGAGTCTACTGGCTGGTTGGGATTAGGCTTGTGTCTCCTTATGTCTAAATCAGGGCAGGTAAGATCTGCATAGGTCGTTGGGACATGTGAGGGCTCACATTAGGCCCATGTCCAGCACACCGTGAGTGCTCAGGCGTTCAGAGCTGCTTTTGCCCCCAGGGACCACAGCGGAGCAGAGAGTTCTGGAAGAACATTGTGCCACGGGATGGCTCCTGGCCCTTCAAGTCCCCAGGCCCCTAGGCTTGCACACTGAACCCCCAGGTGCCAGTTTGGGTCTGCTCTGAGGCACTGCACTCAGCAAGCCTTGGGGCAGAGAGGCCAGTGCAGGACACTGCAGGGGACGTGGTACACTTGCTTGTGTCTCTGAGCAGGAAAGTTCTACTCTGGGTCAGCCCAGTAACTCTCGTCTCTGCCCTATGCCAAGAGCTGGCTCCTGGCCCTGTGGCCGGCCTTGGACTTCAGGCCCTGAAACTTGGACCTGAGCCCAGTCTGGGTTTTTGGCCAGGAGGTATTTAGGCCTGGAGTCTGGCCTTCTACCATGCTGCTAACACACCTGGTCAGACACGTGGATCTGCGGGAGTTTTGGCGAAGACTTCATCTCAGTCATACCTCAGCATATAACGGTTTGTCTCTCCTTTCTCATTCTAGCTGAGTGTTATTTGTCCCTCAAGCCCTGGCTCAGCCATCACTTCTCACAGAAAGCCTGAGCTGGGCACCCACACCCTCCCCACTCTGGGTTAGATGCCCTTCTTCTGGGCCCCACAGGCCCCGGGACCGCTCTCTTTCCCACCACTTACCCTCGGCTGGCACTCTGAGTTGGCTTGGAGGAAGGTCTCTGCCACAGCACCTGGCACACAGTGGGTGCTCTGGCAGTGTTTACTGAATGAACAAACTGTCAAACTCAGGCCTCCCTTTCCTGCCCAGTGGCCCTGTCTGCCAGCCACTGAGCCATACTTTATTTCAGGGTTCAGAGAGCAGAGGAGGCAGCCCAAATGGGACAAGGGCCCTGTTGTAAGCCCTCAGCCACAACCTACATTAGAGAATCCCAGGTAGCTGTATGTGATCACTAGCTGTTTCAGTTCCATTTCTGAGGAGACAGATTTTTAAAGATTTGTGTATAAAGAAAAATCTTTGCTCTCATGCGGATGCTGTCTCAGCTCCAGCTGAGGACAACACTTCAGAGCCCTGAGCAAGTCAGGGCCCAGGAGAGGATGTTTCTTGACTGAGGGAGCCCAGGAGGGCTGACAGACCACCAGGACACACAGAACTTTGCCAGTCTCCCCCAAGGCCTGTGGTAAATGGGAGGAAGAGGAAGAAGCAGGTTCAGGGCAAGACCCAGCTGGTCACAATGAGCATTTCTCCCTCAAGCCCTTCCTCAGCCAAGCTCTTTGACTCCCTACTAAGGTGAGATACTTGATAGCACCTAATGCCCTCCCCCCACCATGGGGATTCTTGGGGTTCCAGAGACTTCAGGGCAGCAAGTGGAAGTGGGGGGACACAACTCTCACCAAATGGCTTCATGGGTACCTGGGAGGCCAAACAAAACAAAAAATCAGATTGGAAGCCCCAGCACGACAGGAAGGACTCAGTAGTAAGCTCCCCCTAGGCTTGGGGCAGAGGTGGGGGTGGGTGGGGTAGAAGGTGAAGCTCTCAAAATGACAAGGGGGTGAGGGGCACCTGGGTGGCTCAGTCAGTTGAGTGTCTGCCTTCAGCTCAGGCCATGATCTCAGAGTCCTGGGATGGAGCCCCACAGCGGGGCTCCCTGCTCAGCAGAGAGTCTGCTTCTCTCTGCACTTACTCAGCTCATGCGCAAACTCTCTCTCTCTCAAATAAATAAATAAAATCTTTTATATTTTATCTGGACGTTTAAAATGGTTCCAAGTTATCATCAAGGTCCACCCACAAGAAAGTCCTCAAAAATAACACCAATTGCCAAAATTACAATAAGCTATCACTTCACTCTCACTAGAATGGCTGTAATCAAAAAGACAGTGTTAGCGAGGATGTGGAGCCATTGGTGCTCTCAGACATGGTTGGTGGGAATGCGGTGCAGCTGCTCAGCTGCTCTGGAAAACAGTGGGAGGAGGGGTCCTCAAAATGTTAAACATAGCTGGGGCGCCTGGGTGGCTCAGTGGGTTAAGCCTCTGCCTTCTGCTCAGGTCATGATCTCAGGGTCCTGGGATTGAGCCCCATATCAGGCTCTCTGCTCAGCAGGGAGCCTGCTTCCCCCTCTCTCTCTGCCTACCTCTCTGCCTACTTGTGATCTCTGTCAAATAAATAAATAAAATCTTAAAAAAAAATGTTAAACATAGTTAAGCACATGACCCACAATTCTGCTTCTACTGCAGGTCTACTCCTAGGTATATCACCGAGAGAAGTTAAAACATGCGTTCATACAAGGGGTTGTACAGGAATGCTCACAGGAGCTGTATTCTTAACAGCCAAAAAATACAAACAGCCTAACAAACATCATCTGAAATGGAGAAACAAAATGTGGTGTATACATACATTGGAATATTATTTGATCATAAAAAGGAACAAGCGCTGTTTCATGCTGCAACATGAATGCACATTGAGAACATAATTCGAAGTGAAAGAAGCTGCTCACAAAACACCGCATGTGGTAGCATTCCATTTATATGAAATGTCCTGAATAGGCAAGTCCATAGAGACAGAAAGGACAGGAGTGGTTTCCAGCAACTGGGGAGTGGGGAATGGGGAGTGACTGCAAATGGGTAAGGCATTTGGAGGGGAGTGGGCTATGAAAATGTTCTGAAATTACCGTGATGGTCCAGCAACTTTGCTGATAGGCTAAAAACCACGTAATTGTACACTTCCAAAGTCTTGTTTTATGGTATCTGGATTATATTTCCATTTTTTTAAACGAAAAAATGTCATCGATGGAGAGGAGTGAAACAATGAAACGGAGCACGAGTGTCGCCTGTGCCCGTCGCACCTATCGGAACGAACTTAGGGCCCAGGAATGGTGCACTGAGAAGGCCTATCGGGAAGGGAGGCTGCTTCAGGATCTGGGAAGAAACCCCTCTCGGGATTCGAAGCGAACGCCGCTGAGGTGGCGACCCGGGATCGCTAAGGACTGGGGAGGCGTCGGTAGTCTCAGAAGTTGGCCAGCCGGAGCGGAGACTCCAAGATTGGGGCCAGAGGCTCTTAAAGAGGCCCAAGCGATTCCCATGCCGCGTCCACTTTAAAAGCCAGCGCGGCGGAGCCGGGGTCTGACCGGGTAAGTGCGCGGGGTCGCGGGGAAGGCGGCGGCGCTGGCCCCGCTCGGAGCCGGCCTGGGGGCAGTCTGCCCGTGTGGCCGGGACTGAGTGGGCCGCGCGTCCCGGGAACCCGGGTGCGCGCGGGGCCGACGGGGTCGCGGCGCACCCCCCGCCCCCAGCGCCGGCGCTCGCCGCGGAGCTCTATTTTTAGCAAGCGCTGTTGCAATATAAGGAATGCGCGGCGCGCCGGGCGCTCCGGGCGCGCGCGGGCTGCGCGGTCGCTTTAAGGAGGCGCCGGGGCGGGGACGGGCCGGAGCGGCCAGAGGGCTGGCTGGCCGGGAGCCGCCAGTCCCGCTGCAGTGGGGCCGGCCGGGCGCGGCGCTGCCTCCTCGGCCGCGCGGGCATGGAGGAGGCGGCCTAAGGGCCGGAGCCGAGCCGGGGCTGGAGCGCGCGGTGAGTGGTGCAACCGCCGGGGAGGGCAGGGGGCCCGGCCGGGCGCTTTGTTCCGGGCGGGAGGTGTGGCCGCCCCCGGGCCCTGCCGCGCTCACCTCGCGCCGAGTGCGCCCCGGGACTGGCGGGGAGTGGCCTTTTGCCCCCACCGTGGGCTCCGGCGTAACGTCTTGCGATCGAGAGATCCGCCACAATAGAGACCGCGGCGGGGAGGGCCTATCCACCGCCCAGAGAGCCCCTTTCATGGAACCGCCCTTTGGTTTCTTGTCCGCTTCGGCGGGGACCAGCGGGGTGGTGGGCGGCGGGATTGGAGCGGCGGGGGAGGTGGGGGGACTCTTTCTCCCCTTTTAAAATGGCGTTAACGTGGGCAGGGATCCGCTGCGGGTGTTGTCAAATTTATCTCAAAAATAAAAGGCAGCCTGTCGCGCAAACGGCCCTTCACGGCACCCGGGGCTTGGGGCTCTGCTCACCACTGGGGCCCGGCTCATTCATTGACCGGACTTGGCTGGGGCGCCCATTGAGTGGGGCATGGTGCCCGTTCCTGCTTTGCGGGGACGGTAAGGACAAAAAATGAGCGACAACCTAGTGTGGTCCTTGACGGGATCAGGGAAGAGCAGGGGTTGTGGGAGAGACAGTGTGAAAGGTCAGGGAAGGCCTCCTAGGGGAGGTGATGCCTGGCAGGAGCGTGGGCACTGAACACCCAGTTACACTCTGTGGCTGGAATTGAAGTCTGTGCTGGCCTTGGAGAAGGCCGAGTCTGAAGAGATGGACAAGGGCTACCTCATGGGGCCCTGATCTCAGAGCTCTGGGATTCCCCCACCTCCTCCCTCAAGGCCCCCTGCTGGTACCGAACCTCCTTGAGCTAAATGGTTCTTGCATCTCCAAGACACACAGTCTGTCCTGGACATGATGGTAGAGAATGACTGACAAGGCTCAGAATTCTAGCCTCAAAAGAGTATTAAGGGAGATCTGACTTAAAAACCCAAAGCCCCCCTGTAATAGCAGCAGCCAGCAGGGCTCCCACAGACTGGGTACTTGACCAGAGTGTGCTTGCTTATCATTTGACAAGACTCTCCCAGAGGTTTATTGTTGTTGTTTTAAAATTTTATTTGTTCATTTGACAGAAAGAGATCACAAGTAGGCAGAGAGGCAAGCAGACAGAGTGGTGGAAGCAGGCTCCCCACTGCACAAAGAGCCAGGGGATGAAGGGCTCGATCTTAGGACCCTGACATCATGACCTGAGCCCAAGGCAGATGCTTAATTGACTGAACGACCCAGGCGCCCACATCCATTTGGGATGCTGTGGCTAGAAAGTATCAGTAACTTGCCCAAGATCCTATCTGGAGACCCTGTGGCTGTTCAGGCCCCTCTTCTGAGGGTCGAGCTGTCCTGGCTTGAGGGCTCCAGGTGCAGCCTATGGTAACCTTTTGCTCTGTTTACAGGCGCAGGTTGGTTGAAGTGTGGGGTGGTGAGCTCTTGGGATTAATAACTGACATGTGTCAGGGGCTTTGCAGTGAACAAAGAATTTCCCGGAGACGGTTCTTAGAGATTCTCTGCTTGTCTTCCCAGAGAAGAAACTTGAGCTGGCTAACATTTTATAAATCTACTAATTTCTGGTAAATTGCAAGTCCCTGCTGACTGGGGCTGAAAATGTTTCGGGCCGTGGTTTTCAACCTTGGGTCTGTTCTCACTTGCGGCAGCCAGTGAGTTTCTCTGTCTGCGGTTTATGGTGTAGTCTGTACTTTCTCTGCCAGGTCAGGAGGTGTTGGGCTTCAATGCTCTGGGTTTTCATGGCTGCAGGATCCACCAACCTCTTTTGGAGGTGGGTGGTGTTGAGGAAGTGGGGTGCTTTAGCAGAAACTGCCCCCACCCTAGCCCCTGGCCTCAACATCTTTTTTTTTTTTTAAGATTATTTATTTATTTGACAGAGAGAAAGGGAGAGCATACAAGCAGGGGGAGCAGGAGAGGGAGAAGCAGACTCCCCACTGAGCAGGAAGCCTGAGGTGGGGCTCCCTCCCAGGACCCTGGGATCATGACCTGAGCCGAAGGCAGCTGCTCAACGGACTGAGCCACCAGACGCCCCTCAACATTTCTTTATGGAGAAGAGGGTCAGAGCCCCCTGCAGAACCCCTGTGAGCAAGAGGCAGTCTTCCAAGATTTGCCCGCTTTGCTCTTGCAAAAGGCAGTTTGCACTTTCTACTACTCATACTTTCACCTACAGAAGACGTTTTGGTGGCAGGTGTAACTTTTATTTTATTATTAACTCTAACCATATGTATTTCACACAGTGAGTTGATCTGAGCTGCTCGTAAAGTCACAGTTCTTTGGGGTTGGCTCCTGAGTTTGAGTGATGACCTGGAGCCGGGGAAGACTACCAAACTCAGATGAAACAAGCTAGGTCCCAGGGCGACTGATCCTCCCATCAAGTCAGATTTGCATGGTGACCAGCGGGCTGGATCAAGTGGGTTCTCAGGGAAACATGGCCCCTGCTTTGTATGTCACACCTGGTGTAATCAGTCCTGCCAGTGAAACGTGCCCACACGGAGGGTTCCTCCCTGCAAGTGATTGGAAGCACACCTGCTCATGAGCATTGTATAATTCATACAAACCATACTTATGTGACCTGAATGGGAACACGATCTTGTGCAAAGCTGGAATATTCTCAAGCATCCTAGTGTGCAGTGAGTTGCAGAGGTTCTGTACCTGCCAGGCTCAGGGCAGGTAAAATGTAGTTACCTTTGAGTGGGGATGAGACAAAGGAGGGAGCTGGAGGAGCTCCCTGTGCCCTGGGGCACCTGGCAAGTATCCATTGTCTAGGGGCTGCACGGAAACTTCAGGCCCTGAAAGAGATTTTGTGGGTGGACTCTGAGGCCTGGACAACCTTCATCATCTTGGGTATTACCACTCGGCCTTATGGTACTGGATCGGCGGGACTGCTTTTGGCTGCAAACAACAAAACCCAAGGATAGTAGATTAAACAGAGTTTAGATCTCCCAAAGATGCCGAAGATGTGAAGTTGTTCTACACAGAGACTGGACATTAGCGCCACTTCCAGCAAGCTATTACATGGGAAAGGCAGCCAAGAAGGCTGAGGGTCTGGTGACCAGAGCAATGGTTTTTACCTTATTGGGTCACAACCTCTTCAGTATGCCAGGGAGAAGCCTAGAGAAAAGCTGCTTGGGTGTACAAAGCCCTCGACTCCAGGTTAGACCAGGTTAGATCCCCTGGTCTAAGCCACATTGTCTCACTAGTGGTTACTGGGAACCCACTCAATGGCTCTGTCCCCACAGCCAGGCTGTCATGCTGGGATGGTAGATGTTACGAGTGAAGGCTAGGTTTTGGTGGCTGCTTCAGACAACAGAGGTTATGTTGAGGCTGACAGTCCTTTACACCCCTGGCATCTGCTGTCTCCAGCATTCTTGGTGGGTGTGTTTGCTGCAGGTCATGAGGCTGATCTCACCTGCCCCCAGAGACTTCGCCCCTGCCCCCAACACTGAGCCCCAGGTTGGCAAGATCCAAGGCAGTTTTCTGCAGCCATCCCTTTCAGAAAGTTCAGGAAGTAACAGTGTGTATTTAACTTTTTAGTGTCCCTCTCATTGACCTGTAGTATTTTGGGTAGCTTTTCTAGGTGGGCCTGCTGATGGACAGAAGGCCAAATGACAATCTAGGTCATAGCTAGTTGCTGAAGTGTCTTTATGGGCCTCAGAGGGGTGTATTTTCATCTCCGGAGCTTGGCCTCTGGCCACCTAAATGGGTAAAACACCATGATTCACATCTGAGCTGTGATGCTAATGAGATTGGCAAGAGCACCAAGGATGGATTGGGGTTTGGTGTGGTGGTAGCATGAGGAGAGGATGGAGAGTTGGGGGCTCTGCACCCTGGTTCTGGTCTGTGACTGTCTAGAGGGCCTCAGCCACATCTCCTACTACAGGGAACCAGGCGCCATCTGTGACTTCTCTGCCTGCCCTCAGGGTTGTCATGGGATTAGATGAAATACACAGATGAGAACATTCTTGGGAGACCAGAAAGGGCCATAAAGATTAAGAGCATCATCAATATTCAAGCAACCTCGCGTAACAGAATCATAGATCCAGGAGGGGCCCCTGGAGCGTAGTTAGTCTAGATTCCGATCCCGTAGAGCATATTTCTCAGCATGGTCAGGTAGATAATTTTAGGTGGGGCACATATAGCATCATTTCATTTTAATATGCTTGTTTATATGTATTATAACAATACAGGCATCACATCAAATCCATTTTTGGAAAATGGATACTTTGTTCAAATTAACACTAGAGAAAGGTTTTAAGTTAAAAAGTATGATGGGGGGGGCGCCTGGGTGGCTCAGTCGGTTAAGCATCTGTCTTCGGCTCCGGTCATGATCCCAGAGTCCTGGGATCGAGCCCCACATCAGGCTCTCTGCTCGGCAGGGAGCCTGCTTCCCCCTCCCTCTCTCTGCCTCTCTGCTACTTGTGATCTCTGTGTCTCTCTCTCAAATAAATAAAATCTTTAAAAAAAAAAAAAAGTATGATGGGGGCATCTGGCTGGCTTAGTCAGAAGAGCATGTGATTCTTAATCTTAGGGTTGTGAGTTCAAGCTCCATGTTGGGTATAGAGATTACTAAAAAATAAACTTAAAAAAAAAGTAAATGAAAAGTATGGTGATTTTTTTTCTTAAGATTTTGTTTATTTGACACAGAAAGAGAGATAGCAAGAGAGAGAGCACAAGCAGGGGGAGCGGCAGGCAGAGCGGCAGACAGAGAAGCAGACTCCTCCCTGAGCGAGGACCCCCCCCCCACAATGAGGCAGGGCTCCATCCCAGGACCCCGGGATTATGACTTAAGCCAAAGGCAGACGCTTAACTGACTTAGCCACCTAGGTGCCCCAAAGTATGATGATTTAAGGTAAGCCAGTAGTAGTTCAGTAGTTAACAAATATGGCCCAAATGGGAAAGTGAGCCCTTGAATAAAGGCTGGGAAACTTTTAAGGGAGTCTCTCCCTAACAGT